TGTTGATGCCTTTTCATATGTACAGTCCATAGCGGCTGTGGGCTTTGAGACAGCTAATATTGTCAGTTGCCAAGCGGTTGTCTTGTATTCAGACACTCTTCATGTGCAGTTTTTAATGCCCCTCTGTACTTCCTTTAGGGAATCTTGTCTGATGATCATGTTCTGGCAGCAGCTCTTTGGAGAAACCTTTTTAACAGGAACTGTGAGGACCCTCGGCATCTGGAGTTACTTGTAGAATATGTGCGCAAACAGGTACACTACAGCTCATAGCGCGAATTACTTACTGTCATTCTCTTGTTTAGAATATTAAATATTTATTTTTATTGCTTGCATACTATGTAGCTCAGTTCTCCGTATAAATATAACTGATTTTTATATTCAGTGATTATTTTTAAGGAGAAAAAGGTAAAAATATAAGAACTGGCGGATACTTATTGCAGTTTCATGAAAAATGGCTGCAGAGAAATTCATGGAACATTGAAAGCAATCCTGCTCATCATTTTCTGGACCTATGCTATGGAGGGGCTTGACAAAATGTGTCAGAAATGGGCTGCAACTTGTTGTAGAATTATAATTGATGTTGCAGAGTTGAGATCCTCTTCGTGATGAAATACCACACAGAGCTTGAAAGTCTCCTGATGATCTTTGTGGGAGAGAAGTAAAAGGTTTTGTTTTCCAGAATTATTTCTGTTTCTTTCAGTTATTACCTGGAGGAAACTATATTAAGTAGTGTTTGTCCTCTCAACCCTTAGGAGGTTTGTGAACCAGGTTTCTAGGAAATGTTGGTAGGATATAGTCCCGGGGGGTACCAAAGACAGAAAAGGGGTGAGAGAGGTTCTGGAGGAAGAGTGTAGGCTTGTTGGACAGGGAATTGAAAACCAGAACCTCCACAACAGCATTCTCTGTAATGTTTCCAATACTATGTTCAGGACCAGATAGAGATTTGGAGAGACAGTATTTCAGTGTGTGTCTGAGAAAATGTATGGGAAGTAAAGGGCTGAACTTTGTAAGGGACTGAGGACACTTTTGGAATGCTAGAGGGCTTCTCAGGAGGGACAGACTTAATTTAATGCTTAAGGTTGCTGATGCTTAACATCCGTGAGGCTGTAGGAAAGTTTAAAGCTGAAGATTGGCAGGGAGCAAACACATATAAAAAGTATGTAATTTGGGACAATTTGCTGCCAAGTGGGGAATTTGTTGCACTTCTGTATATTCAAGCAAAGGATAGGAGAGAAGCTATCAGCAGTTGAATAGGAAACAGTGATGACACAAATAAATGTGGCAGATAAATTGGGGAAGAATCAGCACAGCTTCTGTGAAGACAGGTCATTCCTGTAGGCAACTCTAAAGTGGTGCACTTGAGAAAAACAGTCCCAGGTTTACATATATATTGATGAGCTCTAAACTGTCTGTTACCACACAGGAATGAATCTTTGAAATTATAATTGTATTATCAAAATGTCAGCTCAGTTCTTTGTAGTGTTTAAAAAAAGTAAAAGAAATGCTCAGAACTACTAAGGAAGGAATAGAGAATAAAATAGTGTTGCCACGCCACTTTTTAAATCCATGGTACTCTTGTGATCTTGAATAATGTGTATGGTTTGGGTTCTGACCATCAAGAAAGATAAAAACCAAAC